AACATGATTGAACTGAACCTGAACCTGAACTTGACCAAAGTTCGGTTTCAGTTCGGTTCATAGGAACACTAGTTTTAATACTCTAAATTTAATAAAATTGTTTAAAAATCAATTTTTCAAATCAGAAATAAAAATTTTAATCAAATATAAATTTAGGTCTAATATATTACACTAGTATTAAACCTTTAATAGGCCTAATTATAGTATGCAATTTAAAACATTATATTGTAAAAAGAAAACTTAGAGTGCATACGTACTTTTATTTATAATAGACAGTTTTTATCTATATTTTTAAAAAAAATTTGATTGATAGAGATCAATAATTTGCGTCTGATTTATTTTAGTATTTTGTATACATGTTTTTACAGTGTGTCTTGTTTGAATATTACAATTAAGAAATTACATAATAAACTCAAAGTACAAACTTAAGTTTATTATGAGTTTTATGAATTCTGTTTAATAACAATAAAGCAAAAAATGAATATTCACAATAAAGACTGCAAAAAAAAAGGTTAATTTACAAAATCATTAAAAACGTTCTTAAAATTTAAAAATATAAAGGACTTAATAATTAAATCTCCAAACTATAAAATGTTGCACTAGATTAGTAACAAATTTTAATGTGGTAAAAAAAACATGACCTAGAAAATTTTTACCATTTTGGTACACTATAATGGCTGTATAAGCATCAAAATTCTCCGAAAATATGTGATTTTTTTTTACAGATTAATAGTATGCACTTAGGATACAAGAAAGATTGAATATAAGGAAATGTGACAATTATAGAGGTCAAATTAATATAATAATAGTTTTAAAAAAATAGACATATAAAAATAATAGACCTATATATGATATGACTAAGAAGATTTTTGATTGTACTATATTTGTTGAGTCAATTAAAGTAAGTGGTTAAAGGACTGAGTTATGAATCTTTTATAATTTTTTTTTTATCTCTTTAAACTGCTTTGCTAAAACCTTTGATTTTTGCTAAATATGTTTACAAGATTGCTACAATATTGCTACAATGTAATTACAATATTATCAATAATATAATATAATAAATATATGTTAAACATATGTTAAAAATATTATTATCATATTTTAAAAATATTATTTTTGTTCTACTATCTTAATTTTAATTTGATGTATATTATATATTTATAATATAATTACAATATAGGTTTAATATTAAAATTATCTTTTTATTATCTAATAACAATCTAACAGTAATTTAAAAATATAATATTTTAATAATATAATAGCAATCTGTTTAAAATAATCAAATAATATTATGTCGATTACCGAATGGAAAGAACTTAAGTGCAGATTTTAGTTTACTTTATATTCAATATTTAAGTGTACCTATATACCTAAAATTTCATACTAAAACTTTTGCTTAGAAGTCAAATCATATGGTGCATGTAGCCTAGAACCAACATCACGTAACTATAAGTGGCAAAATTTTAAATATTTTTATTATAAAAATTTTGTGTTACATAAAAAATTAGCCAATTAGATTTTAGTATAATAAAAATTTTTTAAAAAATTTATATTAGTGGCCAAATATATTAGATATTTTGGCTAATAACTTTGGTTTGAATAAATTAAGAAAAAAAATCTTCCTGTAATATTATAATATGAAGCTTAAATAATTGCTTTACAGAATAATTTTTTTTGTTATAATAGTATTATTATTAGTTATAGCCATTTTTATTTTACATAGTTATAAAAAGTCACGTGATGCTGGTTCTAGGCTATATGCACCATACAATTTATTGAGATAACGTACTATACATGCCATAGAAATTATTGCGCATAATTTTTGCCTTAATTTTGTCATGCGGCAATGCCTAAATCTAAAACTCATGACCAATGCCTAAAGTCATAATTAATGTAAAATAATAGAGTATAATTGATATAGTGTCGAAAGTAATAAAGTATAATCAATATAATGCCGAAAGTAACAAAGTATAATATTTTATTTAAATAGGTCCCTATCATTTCTAGGGATGGGCAATTTTTATATGTATGGTTACTTATTATTGCATCAAATTTTTTAAATAATAAGTAATAATAAGTAAAAAAAAGCTGGTTCAGAGTTATGTCTACCATGATGTATATGTGAATCGTGTGAATCATAATCAGCCGTAATAATAAATAGTTAATAATGATATGTATGAATAGGTAAAGGTTAAAAAATTCATATTGATTATATAAATTATTACCTTGCCCATCCCTAATCATTTCCCTGACATCGTTTTCCCCGACAATCACTTCTCTGAAAAAATTTCACCGACAATTTCCCGACAGCCAATTTCCCGACACTTTCATTTCTTCGACATTTCATTCCCCGACAATCATCGTAGAAACGATTGTCGGGGAAATGAAAATGTCGAAGAAATGAAAGTGTCGGGGAATTGACTGTCGGGAAATGAATGTGTTAGGGAAATGATTGTAGGTGAAATTTTTTAGGGGAAGTAAAAATAATGTCGGGAAAATGATAGGGAACCAGGGACACGGAATTTATGCGATAAGAATTTGTAAATTATGCGTGCGGTATGTGTAATATACGTGATTTGCTGATGATTAAAATTTAAAAGTGCGATTTGGTGTTTTTTTTGCAAATTTTACTCGTAAAAAAACTTCAATTTTTTAAATACTGCGTTAAACTGGCAAATTTTTTAATCGGAGAATAAATTAATACGCAATTTTTTAATCGGGGTTTAATCACACTAAATCACACAATTTCCGTGTCCCTGTAGGGAACCATTTAAATACTGAAATAATTCGATTTTATAAATTATTATTATAAGACAAATTGCGGCAATTAATTTAGATTATGACATATGTTTTGGATTTCGGCATTTTTTTCGGATTGCGGCATAAATTATGACTTGCGGCTTTATTTTTGCCGAAAAATCGGTGCCTAAATACTTTCGACGCAGCCGAAAGTAATTTCTACGGCATGCATAGTACGTACGTTTATTAACGTTAATGCGCAGCATGCGCTGTCTGCGCGTACATTTTTATTTTACCTCGGAAAATTTCTTCTTTTTTGGAATATTCCGGAATTTTTGTATTTTTATTTCCTGAATTATAAATTACAGGCTGTACATGAGCCAGTCCCTAAGGTAGATTATACATAACGCACAACGTTTTCAACTGAGACACGAATGAATAATAATACTGTATATCGATATATCCGAACCCTGCGGGAAGAGCAAATATAGTAACCGATGTTTGTTTCACAAACCTGGTATATCGTAGTTCATTATGAAATGACGCCAGAGGAAAATGGGACTTCAATCATCTATATAGGCTTTACGTATATGATTTAAGTCCTTGGCATCGCTCATATACTTCTTTATATATATAATAAAATTGTGAATTTAGCCGATTTTTTTGTAACAAATTTCAAATTTTTGGGTTAGTTAACGAGTATCAGTTTAAATAGACTGTTTAAAATAGGGTAGACTGTATATTAATGTACTGTAGACTGCATAATTGACAAAGAATAAATATTGTAGAAAGTGCAGAAATTTTCATATTTTAAGATATTATAACTTGAATTGATCGCTGCGCACATTACCATTGCTTAAATACTCGCTTTAAAAAATTTTCATAAAATGGAAAAAATGAAAGCAGTACGATTTAATCAAAAAGGTGACATCAAAAATTTAGTTGTAGAAGAAATCGAAAAGCCAACTCCTAAGCAAGGCGAATTATTAATTAAAGTTCATGCCTCTGCCATTAATCCTGTAAATTTTATTTAAAAATTCACCTTCTATTCATTTTCAATTCATCAAATTTTGTATATGATTCAATCTAACCTTAAGCTATTCTTTTAAAAATTAGAGTGACGCTTTTAACGTTCTAGGTAGGTTTCAAATCACCACTTTACCGCGCACTCCTGGAAGAGATTTTGCAGGCATAGTTGTCGATGGTCCACCTGAATGGTTGAATAAGGAAGTATTCGGAACTGGTGGATACAGTGGATTCACATTTGATGGAACTCATGCTGAGTGAGTATTCAAAATATATTATTCAATTAATTATCTTTTATAATCTTTTTATTAATAATTGTTTTTTTTGTGTGTAGATATGTTATAGCAACTCCTGAAACTGTTGCTATCAAACCCGAAAATTTATCTCTCATTGATGCTGCATCAATTGGTGTTGGATTTTTAACAGCTTACCTTGCGTTAGATACTGCAAATATTAAGGAAGGTGAAAATGTCCTTGTCATAGGTACTTTCCTTTTTTTTTTTCATCCGTTTTTCATTTTAAATTTCATGACCTTTCATCTAATTACAATTTCTTTTTTATAAAATATGTGTGTAAGGTGCACGTGGAGCAGTCGGTTCTGCCGCGGTCCAAATAACAAAATTTCTTAAAGCTAGACCAATTGGCACATTTACTAATAATCCACTTCCAGAAATTGGAGCTGATTTTGTTGATACCTCAACTGAGGATTTGAAAAAGAAAGTTCTTGATTTGACGGATCAAAAAGGTGTTGATATCGTAATTGACACTGTTGGACACCCTGCAATATTTGAAAAGGTTTGTGAAATAAATTAATGAGATGATATTATATGTTCCTAAGTATTTTAAGTTTACACTAAACCCCTTTTTATCTTCAAAAGGCATTCTCATCATTGAAAGTTCGTGGAAGATATGTTGTAATGACAGTTGGACGTTCAGATAACAAATACATCTCATTTGATGGACTCGATTTTTATCGGTAACTATTTTATCATTACATACCAGTATCTCTTTTTTTTGAATGTTAAATTTTTGTTAATTCTTATATATTAAAAAAAAAAGTCGAGAACTTCGTCTTTTTGGACTTAACACATTAAACTATGCTAGGGAAGATGCAGTTAAAGCATTTAATATATTGAAACCAGGGTTTGAAAGGTACAAGTGATTTTCTAAATCTTGATTCTTATTATGATTAATTCTCGCGAAAACCTCTTTATTAATCTATGTTTCAATAAATTTTTCATGTTAAAATAGTGACGCCCTTCGAGCTCCAAAAAATATTAAACAATATAAATTGGACCAATGTATAGAAGCATATGAATATGTGAATACTAAACCAAAAGAGAAAATTGTTTTTACGGTCGAATAATAGTAAGCTCCATGATCAATAAAATGTTTGTCTGGCTTTAAATTTAATATGTCACCTATTAAATTTTACAGCCAGATACTGGAGTATTTTTTACAAATATGTATTACTTATTCTATAGATTTTTTTAATCCACATTATTAGTTAAATAAAGAATTGGTGTATTTAAGCTGAAGACATCAAAATTTTTTGCATAAAAATTGTCGAACGCCAATCAAATTTGAGGCACGGTTGTAATTTGATCATCAAATTTGCTATCATATCAGCTATATATAAAGTCGTCAATTAATCTTATACCTAAATTTTATTTACCAAACCAAAAAAAAAATGACTATAAAGTTTCTTGAACAACTTTCGGATAATTTTACACAACTTCTTGAAAGTAAATATGGTTATGACGTAGTAATTGATGTCGGGATACAACCAAATAACCTGCTGTTTCAAGCACATTCAACAATCTTGTATCAACGTTCATTATACTTTCGCCTGAAATTAACTGACGCTACAAAGGATAACGGTGTTATTAAACTTAAATTACCTCGCGTTTCTATTGAAATATTTGATATTATTATTAAGTAAATTATTGAATATTATTATTTTTATCAAATGATTCATTAAAAAATATGAAAAATTTTCAAACTTTTATATTTCATTACTATTCATCGAACAGATACATATACAGTGGCATAATTCCTTTAGACGATCTCGAAGCTCCCACAATATTTGATTTGATGATCGTTGCCAACGAATTATCATTTTCAGAATTGGTTAAACATATTCAGTCTTACCTTGTCGATGTTCATTCAGTTTGGCTTCGTTTGAATTTTTCTCGTGTTTATCAAGTTAGTTTTCTTAACGAAAATTTTAAAGCTTTACAAAAATTCTGTAATGATATTCTTGTGAAACAACCTGGAATGATTTTTAATTCAGATGATTTTACCACCCTCCAAGAGAATGCTTTAATTGCACTTTTGAAGAATGATGATTTACAAATGAAGGAATTAGAAATTTGGGATAAAGTTATTATATGGGGAAAAGCGAAAATTCCAAACCTACCACCAAATCTTGAAGAATGGACTAATGAGAATTACAAGTCTTTAAAAGATGCACTTCAAAATTGTCTTCCACATATCAGATACTTTCAAATTCCTGGTGAAGATGTCTTAAAGAAAATTAAACCTTATAAAAATATTCTCGAAGGAAATATTTGGGATGATCTTACGTCAAAATTGATAGCACCAAATATGCCTATTACATCTCCAATTTTACCTCCTCGTAGAAAAGCATCAACGCAACTTCTTCCTCGTAAAAAAACAACTCAATCCCATCAAAAGGAAACACAACTTTCTCCTCCCCAACCAACACCTATTTCAACGCCATTTTCTTCCATACTTACTTTACGACATGCTGCGATGATTTCCACCTGGATTGATCGACGTTCATCAAATTATAAGATTGAAGAAACTCCATATGAATTTGGGCTTTTACTTAGAGGTAGTATAGATGGGTTCGATGGTCTAACATTTCACAAGCTGTGTGATAACATCCCTGGTACCGTGGTAGTATTAAAAACCAATAATGAGATACTCGGTGGTTATAATCCCCTTATTTGGAAAACTGATGATGATACATGGGCACCGGAAGCTGACAGTTTTATATTCTCTTTAAAAAATAGTAGCGACTTTTCACACAACACTTCATACCCTATTATTAGTCGTGTAAAAGATAAGTCAAAGGCAATTCTTTATCGTTCAATGTCAAAAGGTCCATGGTTTGGTAGTTGTGATCTTGGAATGGGAGATGTCATTGATCCTAAAAACTGGTATTGCGAACTATTGTCATATGATAGGCCGATCAGAATGACAGGAGAAAGTTGGTTTTCTATAGTAGATTATGAAGTATTTCAAATTTGTAAAGCAATTTGAGATTTGTTATACGAACTTCACGATTTATCAAGATTAAAGTATTATTAGCTGAACGTAATATTGTCAATATAATATAATAATGCATTGATATAAATATTTTATAATTCCAATTTGACTTTTATTTTATTTTTTTATTTTGTAGTTTAAATATTCGAATTTGAGGATTGAGTCGGATTTCTTACGTATCATAGTTTTAAATTTACTTTAAATTTACACTATCACTGCAATCATGAATTATCTGATTGACGATGTAAAAGATATTTAAACAATGTAGTTTATGTGAAATACATTTTATTACAGTATATATTTAAGTAATAAAACTATAAATAATAATCGCCTAATACTGAATAATAGAATTATAGAATTAAATAAATTAAATTTATAAATTGCATCGATTAATATCAAACTCAATTTCTAAATTGCTATTATAATCTAAAATTTTAAAAATAAATTGTTAATAAATAGATAAATAGCATTCATTAAATACCATAAAAACTATACCTTGATTACGAGTTTTCTCATTATATTTTTGTCTTTTATTTTTATTACAAATGGCTATTATATAAAACTCATATTAATATCATTATATTAAGATATAAAGTTTATTTATTAGCGGTTTTTCTTTTTTGATACCATTTTCAGTCAAATTATCTTCATAAAGTTCATTTCTTTTTAGGATATTTAGATTAGAACACGAAGAAGGTGCCAATTCTTGTTGATAACAATACAGAGTTCGCTTATTACAAAGGAAATTTAAGTCCATTTTTAAAAGCTGTCTATTTAAAGTCGTAATCTCATTATTTATATTGGTGCTATTTTTTAATTAAATAATATACACGTGTAATTTATATTAAATTAAATTACCTTACCTTTTTTTATCAATAAAATTCAATGAAACTCCTTAAAAAGATTTTATTATTTTTTAATAATTTATAAATAAATTGAATCAAATAGATTTAATAGTTACCAATTTCCGTGCTATTTGTCAGGCTGATATTTGATAAAATGGAATAATCTATTTATTTATAAATAAAATATTTAAGTTCGTGTATGTTTAGATTTAAAAGTCAAGTAATTTAGTAATCTTACTTGTATGAATATTATTGTTTAATTTCATCCGTAATGCAGTATTAACTAAAGAACTTAGTGGTCTACTCGTATATATTGCCTGTGGATTTTTTCTTGTAGCGGGCAGGATCGTTATATTTTCTGGAAAATGTATTTCGTTTGTTTTTAATTTATTAGTAATATCATTAATGAATTTCCCAATATCTTCAGCATTTGGTCTGTTTAATGGATCAGCATCCCAACATTTTTTCATTAAATCAATATAAATTTGTGGTAAATTATTAAATATTTTAGGGCGAAGACCATTAAGGATATCCAAAATAAGATATTCATCATGATCGCGATCAGAAAAAGGCTTTTGACCAGTTATCATTTCCCACATAATCATTCCATAGCTGTAAATATCTGAAGCTCCCGTATACTTTTCACCTTCAAATATTTCAGGTGCAATATTTGGGACAACTCCATAGATTTCATTTGTTTTTGTTATCTCATTGGCTGGTTTACTTATTCCAAAATCTCCGATTTTTATAATTTCACTATTATGAACAAGTATATTTCCACTATGAAGATCTCGATGAATAATTTTTTTACGATGAATTTCAGAGAGTCCCCGTGCTATTCTTCCTAATATATCTAGTTTTTTATTCCAAGATAAAGAAAGTTTTTTGAAATATAACTATGTAAGTCACCATTTTCCGCAAGCTCCATTACAATCATATAAATTTTTGTTTTCGGATTTTGCGTGATGCCAAAATATTTATGTATAAAATTATTAGTGCGACTCGAGCATTGAAAGTAATTTTTTAACTAAAATAAAGAAGTATGTTAAAATGAAGTTTAACAAGTTATGTGAATAAGTACTATTTATTCCCGCAACGGCAGAATAAGGGTACAGTATTATTCTTCGTTTTTTGTTTTTATAGGATGCCATGACGGAGTTTTATGACTTACAGCCATTACTCTAATCAGTAAAAAAAAAGTTTTTAGCTATGTAAGTTATTTCCTAGCCTGGAGAAATATCAAGCGTTTCCGGGAAAAAACTCGGTTTTTACTGATTAAAGTAGTGATTATAACTAGTAAATCCCCGTTATGTAATCATATAGAAACGTAGAATAATAGTTATAACAATGCAAACCTCATTTAAAAAATTAAGACTTATACTTTCAGAATCATTAAGGCTTTTAAGAATAACTGTCTTATTGGTGTTATTAATACATTATTATCATTATTATTATTATAAAAATTATCGAATTTTTGATCCTGAGAGTTCCAAGAACTTTTTAAATCATGAAAACATTTCGCAGTAAATATTTCACTAAATCCTCCTTTGGCAATATAAGTAATGTCTCTGAATTGGTCATATGGAATAAATTCTATAAAAACGTTTTGATAACTATTTATCTTATTTATCTTAGCAAACAAATTATCTATATCATCGTTTCCACTTAATATGAAGTTGTCACAAACGCTACACTGTTGGGCATTGTCATACTTATGAAATCTTGATCTCTTACACCTCTTGCACTTTCTAAATAAAGGATTTCTAGTCTGCGTGACTTTGCTTTTTATGCATAAAGTTGATAAATTATTATTGTCCATTATTCATCAATGGTAATTATAAATAAAATGTTGTAATTTTATGTGGTATGATTTTATAATTTTAAACATGCAAGCTATGTACTGTACGTGTCAGTTTTATAAAAGTGCACATAGAAAATATTTCCGAAAATATGCTAAAAACAAGAATGTTCATTTTCTATAAGTTGCAACCAAAAAATTCTTTAGAATTCTTAGAACAATTCAACGTTAAACGTTTATTCTCAGAAAAGCAAAGTATTTTGGCAAATGGTACATTATCTCTTAAACCGTTTCTCCTGCAAATCTGCCCTGAAATTTTTTTTAAAATGAAATTTTTAAAATAAAATTTCAA